GGACGAGCTCCGAAAGAAGTATCCAGAGTTTATGTTTTGAGCTTGTTCTTTGTATTAGTATTTGGAGTTTATTTCTTTTTAGTAGTTTTTGAGTTGTATTTCCGGGGACGGAAATAATTTAAGGAGGGTAGAATGTAACGCCCCGATTTTATTTCAGTAGACATCTCGAATTATTATTATATTATGCATTTTTTATGGCATTTTATTTTATCAGCTCGACAAGTAGATTTGATTAATTAGACGTGAGTGTCTATTTAATCATTTCAGATAAATAATTTATTTAGATCTTTTCGTCTATTTAAATTATTTCATAATTTAGCCGGATAATGGAATTTTTCCAGTCTAGCGAGAGCCGATTATTTTTTTAGTCGTCTTCAGTATCATTGATTTGTTTTCTCGACTCCCTAGAATTTTTCGAGCCGATCAACCTTATCATTTTCGGTCATTTTAATTATCAAGTCTTCCCATATTTTTTTAAGTGCTCCTTATTTAATTTAGTTAGTATATGAGATTAAGCCTTGGCAGATTAGTTAGCATTATAAGATCAACTTTCTTCTGCTCCCTGCCAATACGCACTCAATCTCCAATATTCGAGGGAGTTTGAATTTTTCTTTCAACTACTTCAGAAAATTTCTCTTCCTCCATCGTTATATTGCCTTATCTCTCTCACACGTTCAAAAGCTCCAAACAACGAACAAAATTATTTTCTTCCTCCCAAACTCAATTTTCTCAACCGCAACATCACCTCAGCAATTTATATCATCGCCTCTGCCATATCATCAAATCGCAGCCTTTAACCTCGCCGACACTTTCCAGCGGCACCCTCGTCAGCCTCCGTTCAGCAGCCGAATAGCAGCGGCACCCCGTCGGTCTTTGTCCAGTGGTCGAGCAGCAACAGCAGTCCCCGCTTTTGTGCGTAACTGCGATAATTCCGTTTGAGCAGCCACGTTCGTTCGATCAGCATAGCGGATAGCCGTCGTAAGAGCCGAGGCCAATACCCGACGTCGAAGACTCTTCGTTTTCAGTTTTTTTCGTTCCCGTTTCATTCCCGAAGGAGGTATGATTATACCCCTCTCTTTAATTTCAGATTTAAAATTTAAGGATATTTCATGCTTAAGGTTTCGTAAGATGTGAATGAGTTAAATTCATGAAAAGAGAATTTTATAAAGTAGAAGATTCATGAATTTTGAAGTAGTAGGGATTGATGTGGAGCTCTCGGTCTCTTGTCAGTTAAATTCTGTAAGTCATGAACTTAATTGTTAGCAGCAGAAACAGTTTTATTTATTTTGCTGTAAATGAGATTAAGCAAAATCCAACCTTTTTGCCATTTGAATTCCTTTATTTATTTGGAAACATTTTAGGAGAGGTTGAGCTATAGGTGTTAAATTTTGATCCTATTATTATATGGTAGCAGCTGGAGATATTTTATTTTAAATTGCCTTAAAGTGAGCTTAAACAAAAGTTTAAACCCTTTTTGCCATTTTAGTCTTTTAATTTCGAATGGAGATTTGAGCAGGCTTTGAGTTTTATGAGTTTTCAGCATATTAAATCTCTGTTATGTTCTTTTTTTTAGGCCTGATAATAAAGAGTTTTATATGCCTTCATTAGAGATTAAAAGGAGTTCATTTACTGTAGTAATATTTGCAAATGTGTTTATTTAATTTAAAAATCAAACCGTTTGTATCATGGTTTAAAACCGGATGGTGAACTCCTAAAAAGTTTTTTTGTATTGGTCGTAAGAGGTGTCGTAAAGGTCGAGGTAG